ACTCTTAACTTTTTCTTTGGCTTCAGTAAGCGTGGCATCCCTTTTTTTTTGTGTTCCCTCCGCCGAACTCAATTCCTCAATCTTTCGTTTCACCTCCCCACTCACTTTCACAACATCGTCGATCTCTTCCCCTATATCTTTTACGAGTTTTTGACTGTCCGTTTCTTTTTCCTCCAATTCTTTCAATTGTTCGTGGAGTTTTTTCAGCTTCTCCCCCGCAGCCTTTATTGCTTCTTTCGACTTCTTTAGCTGCTCCTCGGCCTCAGTTGCATTGCCCTCGGTATACGAGATCAAATTTTTGTGCTTCTCCTTGTACCCTACCAACGCCTCTTTCCTCTCTCTGCATTCTCCATCGAGGGTCTTCTTCTCCTCTTCACGACCATTCTTTTCGTTAAGGAGACCTTCAAAAGCAGTTATGGCTTCGTCAAGTTTACTCACCACTTTTTCGACGCCACCCAGTATAGTCTGACAAAGCCCCTGCTCGTTCTTCGCCCTTTCGATTGATGTCTTCGCCTCGTCGGCTGCCGTACCGGTTTGTTGTACTGCTTTCCCTGCCTCGTCCAGCTGATCGTATATCTGCTCCTGTGGGCCAACCCAATCGTGTGATTCCTTTGCGTCCTCAACCAACTCCACGACTTCCTCAACTAGCTTTGTTGTCTCTTCAGTTCCTTTCTTGACCAACGAAAGTGATTTGCTGCTCGACACCAAATCCTCTTCCCAAAGAGAGAGACAACCCTTTCCCTCCACGAGAAACTCCTCCGCCTCTCCTTTCAACTGCACCATGCGTTTTACTGTAATACGCGGGTTACTCCCATCAGGTTCCTTTGTATCCCCACTGTGTTCTGGATTTGCCGTACTTCCCGAGTCACTGGTGGCGCAGACCGTACACGCACAGAGGTACAGTAGTACCAACAGGTACACCACACGGCGCAGTTGAACGAACATCGTTGTCACGATTGTCACTGTGGGTTGCTTGGATCTGTGGTAACAAAGAAGAAGAGAAAACGAAAGAAGAGAGACGCACGTTTGACACACAAGGCAAACAGTACACAGCAACACAGAAAGAGAGAGAGTACACAAAACAACGTCAATCAAACACAACCCAATGAAGGGAACAACAGTAAACCACTTACACAATAAAACACACCCAGAGTTACACAGATATTGAAACAACACCTTGAATT